AAATCCGTCCTAAAAAGTCGACTCGGGCCCACGTCTCAGAATCAGGCAAAAATCATAAAATACGAAAGCCCATTCACTCACGAGTCCAACCATACCAAATTTATCAAAATCCGACCTCAAATGACTACTCAAAACCCAAAATCAAACTCTTCAAATCCCTAGCCTCAAACTCCTAAATTCCACCTTAAATACACAATATCTAGGTGGAAAAATAATTAGGGAAGCAAGATTATTGATCAAAAATAAGTACAAGGAACGTACCTCACGAAATACCTCAAAAATGCTCTCAAGAAATCGCCAACCCGAGCTCAAAAATGAAGAAAATGGCCAAAAATCTCGAAGCCTCGCTTAAAAGGGTTCTGCCCAGGCATTACCGCATTTGCGGACCACCGGTCGCACATGCGACGTCGCACCTACAAAATTACCCTCGCAGGTGCGGAAATGACTTAAGGAGGCTAGTCCGCATCTACGAGCAAGGGGCCGCACCTGCGCCCGCTCCTACGGATATCTTCCGCTTCGGCGATCCTCACGCTCCAGGTCCCGTCCGCTTCTGCGCTCCATCTTACGTAGATGCGGCTCTGCTTCTGGTAACGACCCAGCCGATCGTTTTGAGCGTAATAGCCCCGATCCCCTATTTACTACTTCTCCTATATCTATTTCTGCTATTGTGACTTGCCGAGAGGTTTTGTTTTGGTTTTTAAAGTGTTTTGAGACACTTAGTCCCAAAATGGAGGTTTAAGCCTTAGGATTTGGACCGTAGTCGGAACTGTATGAAGACGACTCCGGAATGGAATTTCGTCGGTTTCGTTAGCTCCGTTAGGTGATTTTGGACTTAAGGGCATGTCCAGATTATGTTTTGGAGGTCTGTAGCTTATTTAGGCTTGAAATGGCGAAAGTCGAATTTTTGGAGATTTTGACCGGTAGTGGACTTTTTGATATCGGGGCCGGATTCCAATTTCGTAAGTTAGAGTAGGTCCGTAATGTTAATTATGACTTGTGTGCAAAATTTGAGGTCAATCAGACGTGATTTGATATGTTTTGGCATCGGTTGTAGAAGTTTATAGCTTTAAGTTCATTAAGTTTGAATCAGAGGGTGATTTGTGATTTTAGCATTGTTTGATGTGATTTGAGGGCTCGACTAAGTTTGTATGGTATTTTAGGACTTGTTGGTATGTTTGGTTGAAGTCCCGGGGGTCTCGGGTGTGTTGCGGATTCTTAACGGATTGAATTTGGACTTAGGCTAGTTGCTGAAGATTTTCTGGTTTCTGGTATTTTCGCACCTGCGGAGGGGAGACCGCAGGTGCGGGATCGCTTGTGCGAAGGAGGAACCGCAAATGCGGCCAAGAAGGAGTTGGGCAGGAACTGCAGGTGCGAAGATTTTCCCGCACCTGCGAGAGTCGCAGATGTGGGCAGCTAGGCAGAGGTGCGAAGGGGAGCCACAGGTGCGATGCATTTCCATCGCAGATGCGACAGAGAGTTCGCAGGTGCGAGATGTCTGGACAGAACACTTAAATGCAAAGGTTTGCAATTTTTGCTCATTTTCAACATTTTGAGCTCGGGTTTGGCGATTTCTTGAGAGCATTTTTTAGGGATTTCTTGAGGTAAGTCCCTTGTGCTTATTTTTGATCAATAATCTTGCTTCCCCAATTTTTTCCCACCTAGTTAGTGTGTATTTAAGGTGAAAATTGGGAGTTCGAGGCTAGGAATTTGGAAAGTTTGATTTGTGGATTTGAAGGACTAAGTGGTGTCGGATTTTGTAAATTTGATATGGTTAGACTCGTGAGTGAATGAGCTTTCGGATTTTGTGATTTTTACCCTATTTCGAGACGTGGGCCTGGGTCGACGTTTTAGGACGAATTTCAGAATTTTGTTAAAGTATTGATTTCATTAATTAGTTGAGTCTATTATGGTAGTATTTATGATGTGTAATTGCTTTTGGCTAGATTTGGGCCATTCGGAGTCGGATATTCGTGGGAAAGGCATTGTGACCGATTGATTGAGCTTGGTTCGAGGTAAGTGGCTTGCCTAACTTTGTGTAGGGGAAATTCCCTTAAGATTTGGAACTATTATGATATTTGAGCACCGTGTACATGAGGTGACGAGTACGTATACGGGCTAGTTGTGGAAAAATCTAGATTTTCTTACTGAGCAGCAACCTATTTTCCTTTTATTTTGAGTTATACCATTTTAATGAGTATCAATCTATTTTCATTCTTAATTGAGTTATTCTAATATGTGTAGCTATCATGTTTAGTCTAATACAACATGTCTACGTGTCTTAACTGCTTATGTGAACTCTGTGCAGCATGCTTAGTGAATTTCCTGCTTCTTCCTTGACTGGTACTTAGTCTAAATCGTAAGATTCCGTGATGTAGTTGTATTTCTATTATTTGCGCTGCATATTTACTTTGGGACTACGGAACGGTAATCCGGGAGATCCCCCTTTACTGCATATTTACTTTGAGACTATGGAACAGTATTCCGGGAGATCCCCATATACTGCATATTTCTTAGGGACTACGAAACGATATTCAGGGAGATCCCCTTGTACTGCATATTTACTTTGGGACTACAAAACGGTATTCCGGGTACCGATTGTGGTATACTCATGCTACTCTTCTGCACATGTTTTTCGTGTGCAGATCCAGGTGCTCCTTATCAGCCGCACTATCAGTGAGCCGGGACAGCTTTGGAGACTTCAAGGTATATCTGCCGCGTTCGCAGACCTCGAAGTCCCCTTTCAACTCTTCATCATGCCCATTATCTTCTATATTTTCTTTTGATAGACTCTGATGTATAGAGACACTAGACTTTTCCTCCTGTAGTTTGTGATTCACGATGTTTTCGGGTTTTGGGATTGTTGTGTATTTTTGAATAGTTGGTTAAATTTATATTTTTATTTTATTATTCCAAAAAAATGTTTGGCTTACCTAGTTGTAGAGACTAGGTGCCGTCACGACATCGCACGAAAGGGGAAATTGGGTCGTGACAAGTTGGTATCAGAGCTCTAGGTTCATATGTGTCTTGAGTCACAAGCCAGTTTATTAGAGTCTCGCAGATCGGTACGGAGACGTCTGTACTTATCTTCGGAAGGCTATGGAACTATTAGGAAAATTTCACTACTGTGATTCCTTGTCATGCGATTGTACCAATGTAGCCGGTAGCTCCAGCTCAGCCCGAGGTTAGGGCAACAACTTTTGAGGTGGAGCAGCTCAGACTTGAGAGGTACAAGAAGTACCACCCACCTACCTTCAGCGAATTGGATACAGATGATGCTCAGGGTTTTCTGGAGGAGTGTCATCGTATTCTCCGTACTATGGGCGTAGCGGAGACGAGCGGGGTTTCTTTTACTATATTCCAGCTTAGAGGAGCAGCCTATCAGTGGTGGAGTGCCTATGAGCTGAGTAGTCCGGATGAGGCAGTTTCACTTACATGAACTCAGTTCTCAGACATGTTTTTGAGAGAGTATGTCCCTCAGAGCCTCAGGGACTCATGGCGCACGGAGTTTGAGCAACTGCGCCAGGGCGCTATGACTGTGTTAGAGTATGCAGTTCGCTTCAGTGATTTGGCCCGACATGCACTGCCCTTAGTTGCCGTTCGAGAGAGGGTTCGACGGTTTATTGAGGGACTCCACCCCGGTATCCGGATTAGTATGGCCAGGCAGTTGGAGATGGATATTTCTTATCACCAGGTTATGAGTATTTCTAGGAGATTGGAGGGCATACTTGCCTGGGATAGAGAGAAGAGAGAGACCAAGAGGTCTCGAGAGACTGGTTATTATTCTGGAACTCGTGCTCCAACAGCTTGCCATGGTAGGGGTTATGTGAGCCTCCTCATTCATTCAGCTCTTCCAGTCACCAGCAATGTTCCAGCTCATTCTAGACCCTAGGAGCCTTATTATGCACCGCCAGTATCTAGTGTGCCTTTTGCACGGGGTGTTCCTAGCGGCTAGTCCAGCAGACCAGCCAGTCATAGTAGCCACGCCCCCCCAAAGCTTGTTTTGAGTGTGGCGACACTCACCATGTGGCGAGGGATTGCCCCAGGATTAGGATGGGTGCACCTCCACCTATTTCCACGAATCATACCCCAATTTCAAGCCTAATTCCACTACGGACCTCCAAATAATTTTCTGGACACGCTCCTAAATCCAAAATCACCATACGGAGCTATTGGAATCATCAAAACTCCATTCCGGGGTCGTTTATACATAAGTCGACATCCGGTCACTATTTTAACTTAAGCTTTAAACCTTGGAACTAAGTGTTCCAATTCATTCCAAAACCTCACCGGACCTGAACCAATTAACCTGGTAAGTCATAAAGCAACTGTAAAGTATAAATTGAACAGTAAATGAGAAAACGGGGTTGTAATACTCAAAACGACCGGCCAGGTCGTTACAATAAGCAAGCAAAGTATCTATGTAAAATTTTCCTCAAATTATTTTTTACACAATATAGACAATTAAATATATTATTTTGAATCAAATCAGAGTTACATTTAAAAAGTTTTAATTTAAACGAGGACTGAATATAGACAAAAGAATATAATTTTTCCACAATTAAATATATTTCTTGAATTAAATCGAATTTATTTGTAAAAAGTTTCAATTCAAATTAAATGTCAACTACACACAGATTAAACAGTACATTCGTGATAATTGATAAAAAATGAATTCTAAATCTGATATTCATATGCTTGAATCCTACATTTTTTATCATATTCTGGGTAGTATTAAGAACACAATCATTATTTCAGTAACTTATGATTTTTTAAACTTTTATTTTATAGTAACTAAAATATAATTTTTGATATCATATTTATGTATTTGCTTAATAAAATTTATATTTATCGAGATGGGGTACATGCGCAACACAGGTAAGATGAGACTTAGACGGAGGCCGTTAGAATTTTAAATGAGACAAAACGGCTTAAGCACATAGCATAATGGAAAAGTAGACGGGGCGGGTTAATTTTAACTAACATACATCGCATATTTTTTATGCGATTTATGTAAAAGTAGAAGGTTTTTTTCCCTAATCTTCATTGGCCCATTGCCCCCTTTGTCCGCTATCAGAACCCATCCCCTAGCCCCTTCGCCATTTTCGCCTGTGGAACTCCATTTTCGGAGCTTCAAAATCAAACACCAGTTCTGGGCTTCAGCAAAGGTAATTTCTGTATTCAACATCAAACACCAGTTGTAGACTGTCAATTCGCCCTTTCCAGATTCCACTCCATCTATTTCTGATTTTTTAGGTAAGTCATTAACTAATATATTCATATTGTTTATTATATTGATTTTAGGACAATATTTCTGAAGGTTTTCCCCCTTTTTGGATGCTCTTAATTATGTATGATATTTATTATTTTTTGTGGTGTAAAATTGGTGGTGGCGACTTTGCTCTGTGGTTCAGATTTTATTGTTGTGAGTTTGTACTTAGAAAGGAATGAGGATAGTTTTAGTAGCAACATTGGACTTCTGTGCCTACAATAGAAACGTTGGACTTTCCCTTTCTGGTGCATGAGTCTGCTCTTTTATTAGCTCTTATAGCAACATTTTGCATTTAAACAGCCCCCTCTATTCTGTGAAGACCATCAATCACTGATATCTTGTAGAATTCTTTGTGCTAAAGAGAAGGTAACTTTTAAATTTTTTCTATTCACAGACCTCTTTTAAAGTAAAAGATTTTATGATGAATGACTGATACTTTGACTAGCCAACGACCTCAACCTCCGAACAGTAAAAAGTGAAAAAACTGGGAATGTAAAAGAGAAATATACAACAACATACCCAGTGTAAACCCACGCTGGGTCTGGGGAGGGTAGTGTGTATGCAGACCTTACCCTACCTTGTGTTAAATAAAGAAGTTGTTTTCGGAAAAATCAAAGCAAGTTTGAGAAAAAAAAACAGTAGTGAAGTGGCCATGTTGAAAATACCGGAGAAAAGAAATAGTAACGACAACAAAATAATAAGATAACAGTAGTAAGAGACAAAAATTAAGGCTGGGAATTTTAACTTACGCAAGTGCATACTTTGGGAGAGACCATAAAAAAGAAAGAGACTTGTTTGTAAGTTGATATTTCCTTCTGTGTTCCTGTTAACCATGTAGCTGTTAATCTGGAAGACATTTTGTAAGTTCGAAAAAACTGAAAGGGAGGACTCCTATATATGCAATGTCGCCTGTTCAAATTCTTACCGAAGTTGAGAAACAACTGGACTGCTTAAGATGTGAAAGAAATTAGGCTTATTTTATCAAATGCTCCACACTGACTAAAGCAAAAACCAATGGAGGATTAGGAGTGAAGAACCTAAGGATTCGTAACAAGAGACTTCTGCTCAAATGGCTGTGGTAGTTGGATGGACAATGGTGTACAAAAGCTCTACATACTTGTTATGGTGGCTGTATGAAAATAGATTAGGAATCTAAGTTTGGAGTCTTCAGAAGTAATTAAACTAACGGTAAGCTTTGGTAAAAGGAGTAGGCTTTGATAGGATAAGTGGCTCGATAAATGTAGACTGGGGGAGGTGTTCAATTCCTTATCTGTATTGTCTGGTCATTGACTTAGATCGCATGTTGGCTAACTGCCTGAATGATGATGTTGGATCCTGCAGTTTAGAAGAGATCCACAGGGCTGAAAGATGGAAAATGTTAGAGGGCTGATATTCAAACTAGAGAATCTACAGGACCGAAAGCTGGAAATATTAGTGTGCTCATTTTCAAACCAGTGTTTTAAAAGGCGTGGGCGTAAGGCGGGGCGTTTTACATATGCCTCAGCGGGGTGTAAGCCCCATAGGTATTTAATTTTTAATATTTTATAACATAATATAATGACAGTTAATATTTATAAACAAGTAAAATTGCATAAAAATTGAAGAAAACTATATATATGTGTGCTCCATCCCCACAAAAAACTAATCAAAATAATCTATTATACGTTACTTACAAGCACAAGTAATTTGAGTCTAAAAGAATAAAGTTTTCTATATGGAGGAACAAAAAGGATGATTAACCTGCACTTTGAATTTGCTGCTACGAAGAAAAATGTAGTTATCTTTGTATTTGTAAAAAAAATTAAATATTCGTTGCTTTTGAGTGATATTAGCAGACTAGCGGACAAGATAAAAAATTGGAAAAACCATGAATTAGGGCTTAAATCAATAAAAAAGGTCTTTACTTTTAAATTTAATACTTTTGAGTTCCTTTTTAAACCTTTTGAGTAATTACCAAACTGACTTTTGAGAATTTGGGTATTATATGAAGGACTAATTCAACAAATTTTGTTTTAATTTGAAAAAGTTTCTAGGGCTTACTCCTTACTAAAAAAAACGCGCCTCGAACGCCTCTTGAGACTTTCGCCCCACACCATCGCCCCGGGGCGTTTTTGGTACGCCTCGCCCCGGGGCTCGCCCCAGAAATGCCTTTTAAAACAGAGTTTCAAACTAGAGTGGATCCTACTGAGGGAAACCAATATGATTCCAATATCAGCATGAAGGATGTGAATTTCTCATTTAAGGCATGTTATGAATGGTTTCTGAGAAAGTATGCTTGAATAGTGGTCCATTCGTCGAGGAATAGGATTTGGAAAGCAAATGGTGCTGCCTAAAGTGGCTGGTTTCGGACAAATAGGTTTAAGTGAGGAATGTCTAACACATGACAACTTGCAAGATTCATCTATGCACTAGATGCGTTTTACTGCAGAGAGCAGACTGGATCAATGAAGCACCTATTTCTGTGAATAAAATACATACTTGATTTGATAATAAAGCAGATATGGTATGGGGCTGTTACTACTCCCTTCACCTCGTCTTGCAGATGAAATAAGTCTCTTATTTTATTTTATTTTTATTTGCAGCTGAAAAATGCCTAGAGTCAAGACAAATCGTATAAAATACCCCGAGGGTTGGGAGCTGATTGAGCCTACCCTACATGAGCTGGATGCTAAAATGAGAGAAGGTGGGTAATCTTTTTTGTCCTATTTTGTTGATGGGAATTTCCAGACTATTAACTTCTGTTTTCTGGGTTTTGAAAGCTGGCAATGACCCTAATGACGGTAAAAGAAAGTGTGAAGCACTCTGGCCCATATTCAAGGTTGCACATCAGAGGAGCAGATATGTTTATGACCTTTACTATGGAAGAAATGAAATATCTAAAGAGCTGTACGAGTTCTGTTTGGAACAAGGTTATGCAGATCGCAACCTGATTGCAAAGTGGAAGAAGGTGATTAGAAGCAACTTCCTTTCGAACTTAAGAAATCTGTCTGTTATATTTAACTCTTTCCTGTTTTCTGTGTTTTGACTTGCAGCCTGGATATGAGCGTCTCTGCTGCTTGCACTGCATACAGCCTCGGGATCACAACTTTGCAACTACTTGTGCATGTCGTGTTCCCAAGCACCTTAGGGAAGTTGCTGTAATAGAGTGCGTACATTGTGGATGTCAAGGCTGTGCAAGTGGGGACTAATTGTTTTCCTGTAACTGTATGTGAAGAGGTCTGATTTTTCTATCTTGAAAGACTATGGCTTTGTCGTCTTTCTGACTTTTCAAGGCATTAGAAACCTTTGTCTGTAGCATTTTAGCTGATATACATGACTTGCTTTATTGGAAATGTTATCGTGTGTCCGGTAGATTGATTATTTATCGGACCAAGTGAGTGCAAGGCAGGTGATTGGTATGCACCATAAGAAGCTTACAGCAACTTGCGTGGTCAGCAAAAGTTTGAGCTCATGGCTGCTGAGTGGAATCTAATCTATGGCTTGCTTGAGGACCATGGTACCTCAATATTTTCTAAATCTGCTTTTGATGATCCATCGTTAGAGAGGACCAAGGAGATTTAGTGATGGATTATTCAATCTCTGACCTTTGAAAGTTTTGTTTCTTTTCTGTTTTCGCCAAAAACAGACTTGTGACCACTTGCCAACTCTAATAGGCAAACCACCCTCAATAATGTTTGGATGTTACTGGTGATAATGGGACTGCAAGTTTCTCTTTTATCTTCTATTAAGACTTAAATGTAGTTAATGCTGAATGAGTAGTACTCGATGCAAACTCGTGGTTGTGCAGGTGAAAAGAGGGATTGATTTCTTATTGCCTGCATCAGTTTCGTGAAAGATACAGCACTACGTTCAAGCTAACTGAAAATATGGGACATCTTTCATACGTTTGTATTAGTATCACTGTTTTCGGGTTGTGGGATAAGAGAGAATGGATTGATCCTGGTTATGGTGTGTGTATGTAATAGGAGAGACTTAATTTGGTTATCTGCTCTCTCTTGGCATCTGCTATCCTTCCATGATAATTTAGCACTAATCATTTACTCTTTTCATTTTGCAATGATGCTCGATATGGACCAAGGGTCTAGCCTTCCAGTTAGAGAACATTGAAGGTTGGTTGCAGCAGATAGATGCCAAGTTTTTCAGTCAATTTTTTTGAGGGCTTTGGTGGGGCAAGTTGACATATAAGGGTCAAGCAAGATTTGTTTAAACCTCATTTTATGTGTCTGTCCTTCAAATGTTTCACTTGACCAACACTTGACTAATTAGAGCAAGAGTGAAAAAAAAATGGAGTATAATTTCTTGTTTCTTTTATAACATCAAATCTTTTGAAACAAATTCAGTCTGCCAAGATGACTAATATATGGGATACTTGATAAAAACGGGCCATTGTGTGATACTTAAATGCCCTTGAACCTTATTATAAGGTGTTTTTTTCAATTATGGTTTTGAGTGTTAGGCTTGATGACATTATAAGCTGGGTGGGATGCATCTGAATTGGCGAAAACAACGTTTTGTATAGGTTTATTTTCACTAAAACTCAGGAGAGATCTCTTTAATCTTCGGTTAACCTTTTTGGGTACATAACCTTATTTACATGGGACTTTAAATCTGCATCTTTGCGCCCTTTACTTATATGGGATGGTGCGTCATTACATGATTGGTTAATGACAATTTCCAAGACCTCAAAGGCTTACTAATCGGAATTCAATCAAAAATGAAAATTTGATTTTTCTTAGTATTCGTACTCGCACGTGCTTTCTAATACGTTGCTGGTGGGTGACTCGGCAGGGGAGAAGAGGGTGGAACATTTACGTTCACATTCTTTTTGGAGAAGGAATGAGCCCCTAATCCTAAATAAGTAAGAAAAAGGGAAAGAAGTTGATCTTTAACTTCTGCATATTTCCAATTTAATGGCTGTCCTTGTCCCCGAATGGACAAATAGCACAAGCTCTTAATGTAAAGAAACCCACTATTAGGAGACCAAAAACAATACCATATAATTAAAAAATTTACGCCGTTGCAATTTAGCCATTTAAGAATGAGGTAAATATAAACTATGACAAAATTACTGTTTATATAAACAACAAACCAAACCAATTACAAACAATGACATAATGTTACTCTGATTAGAACCCAAAGCAGTTAAATTGTGGCTCGTGAGTGTGTGTTCATTGGCAAAGCAACATTGATTTTGATGCAGGTTTAAAAATATTTGTAGAATTAAGTGGAATAAGTTCCTCAATTCTTGTTAGGGAATTATATAAATCTATGAGTAATACTGATGAAAAAAGAAATTGAGATTGGTAGTCTACAAATAAAAAGGACTCAAAGTTGGTGAAGGAGAGGAAAAAAAGGACAAAAATATGTTGATAGATTAGGCTAATTTGCATTATATAAACAATTATCTATTGGTAACCTAACTTTGGTCCTCTGCTTTCAAAAGTGGAACATAACCTTCTCTCACAAGTCCACAGTCAACTAAGTTAGACTAATCTCCATTTAGTTCTCAAATATTGTCACTCTCCCTATTTTAATCTCACGGATTTAGGTATTATATACGTCAAAAAGTATAAAATCAGTATCAATGCTTGTTATGAAGAATTACGTTCTCCATTTAATTATATGTTAGTCTAAATTAAAAATCTATAGTGTTACTATACATAATTTAATATCAGTAATTTTGACTCGAAATGCACACAATCTAGTTACTGATAGCGTAAATTAAAAATCTATATTGTCAGTATACATAACTTAATATCAGTAACTTTGACACGCTATATAATTTACACTATATGTATATATATATATTCACTAAATAATTAAATTTGAACCCAATAAATTAACGGTAGAACTTGAAAGTTGAACCTAAAAGTTAAAATCCTGCCTCTAATCTCAAGGCCAAGTGTTCTGCCTTACTGCCTACCTTCCTCTCAAATGGCAAAATAACAGTTTAAAAGAGGAAAAAACTTAGTTCTTCCCATTTGACAAGAATTTTTAAGAATTTTTTTTAGAGTTTACTTTTTAGCTCATTTCAACCCTATAACTCCACCACCCCACTATTCTCTATGGGTTTGGGGGAGGAAGAAAGTAGTGTCTATTCCACCAAGAAGAAAAATAAGTTTATAAATATAAAATTTTCTCTCATTACAGTATCTCAAGAAAAGTCAAAAATATTGGTGAAGAGAATTTCATTACATGCAACTCTACCAAAGTTGCATTAATGAATTGAACATTTCTTGATAATCTTCTACTATATAACCTCCAAATATTGATCATTTCTTTTATCAACGTAACCCTCCAAAAAATCTTAGACCAAGAGTTCATTTTATACAACTGTGACATGCATGTGTACTTAATATTCTTGTTCATTATCCTTTGCTTATGAACAGCTCTCCTAAATCTTAATCATTCTTCTCTGAACCTCAAAATCTTGATCATTCTTTAGCAACCCTTCAAAAGTTTGATATTTTCTAATCTTATACATAATGCTATGTTATTGATGAGTTACTGTTAGTAGTAATAACAGTTTTGAGGAAGTAAAGAAAAGGGAAGAGTTAGAAAATGGAGGGGCCATTTTTGGGGGATGAGTTAGCAAGATTGAGGAGTAATAGTAGGACAAGTTGGAGATCGTCTCAGAGTATTAGGGAAGTGTTTGGAGGGCCAAGGGATGTTTTTATGGAGAATTACAGTACGCGGTGGAGGGAGATGGCGGAGGAGGAGGAGAAGGAGCTGAAATGGGCGGCGATAGATCGGTTGCCAACGTATGATAGACTAAGAAAAGGGATGATGAAGGAGGTGATGAACAATGGGAGGGTGGTTCATCATGAAGTTGACATGACTAAGCTTGGTAATCAAGATAGAAAAGTTCTAATGGAGAGTATTCTTAAGGTTGTGGAAAATGATAATGAGAATTTCCTTAGAAGACTGAGAAATAGGACTGATAGGTGATTTCTTTTTCTGGTTACTAATTCCGCTTATTATGAATAGTTACCTGTAGTTCTCTTTTAAGTGACTTGTTTTTACACTGTCAATGCACAATATTAGTATTATTTGTTTTTTTTTCTTCCTTTGGATGAAGGGCGGCCTTGGCGTAACTGGTAAAGTTGCGGCCATGTGACTAGGAGGTCATGGTTCGAGCCCTGGAAATAGTCTCTTGCAGAAATGCAGGATAAGGCTGAGTACAATAGATCCTTGTGATCCGGCCCTTCCCCGTACCCCGCGTACAGCAGGAGCTTAGTGCATTGGGCTGCCTTTATTATTTCTTCTTTTGATCATGTTAGAATTTAGGTATGATTAAGGTGCTGCATGTTATACTGAAGTGAAATTTCACAATGGAGCAGGGTAGGGATAGAAATCCCAAAGATTGAAGTGAGATTTCAGAACTTAAGTGTAGAAGGAGATGCATATGTTGGGACAAGAGCACTTCCTACTCTGCTGAATTCCACCTTGAATACCATAGAGGTAAATGTTTTCCTCCTTTTCACAAACTTGTAATTTGTCATACTAATGGTAAGAACAGTACAGAAACAAGGAATAAAAGATGTGGTTGTCCTTTTTATGAAAATATTTTGTTAGTTATGGAAAAATTAGAATGAAGTTGAAAGAGTAAAAAGGAACTTGCAGTAGAATTATAATTGACCTTTCATTTGTTTATTAACTTAACATTTTTGACTTCTGATTCTGCGATATGCTATTAAGTTGAACTGATTAAATGAATAGGCTGTTCTTGGATTAATTCATCTCTCTCCATCCAAGAAAAGGGTTGTTAAAATTCTTGAAGATGTGAGTGGAATTATAAGGCCATCAAGGTATGCTGTTGGTTTCATTACTAATTTAGTTACTCCACTAATTAACAATTTCTAACACTCATAATTTGCTCTAATTGTCCTTTAGCTTCTTATTTATAAATTATGGTTAGTTTCTTTCAGAATGACATTGCTCCTAGGGCCTCCTGGTTCTGGAAAAACAACTTTTCTAAAAGCACTTGCTGGAAAAAGTGAAAAGGATTTGAGGGTAAGTTTATGCTTCTTGCTGTTTTCTTTGTTGGAATTGTTTACTCATATGCAAATGCATCCCCATTGACTTCCCCTAATCCCGCATTATATTTGCAGGTGACTGGAAAAATTACATATTGTGGGCATGAGTTTCATGATTTTGTTCCTCAAAGAACAAGTGCTTATATTAGCCAACATGATCTGCACCATGGAGAGATGACAGTTCGCGAAACATTGGATTTTGCTGGTAGATGTTTGGGTGTTGGAACCAGGTATGACTTATTGGTGGAGTTGTCAAGAAGAGAAAAAGAAGCCGGTATAATGCCAGATCCTCAAATTGATGCATTTATGAAGGCTACAGCAATAGATGGCCAAGAGACCAGTTTAATTACAGATTATGTACTCAAGGTCTGTAACTTAAGTTTCTTTTTTAGGTTTCAGCTTTCTTGCTTGTGCCAAAGCCCTTATATTAACTGTAATAGCCATTTCCAAACAGATTCTTGGATTAGATATTTGTGCTGACATCATGGTTGGAGATGATATGAGAAGAGGCATTTCAGGTGGACAAAAGAAGCGCGTCACTACTGGTATATGTCGGAGTCTTAGTGTCTATGAACTCATCACTGTTCACTGTATTTTCCTAAATGGTCTATCATTTTTTGCTAAATGAAGGGGAAATGTTGGTTGGACCAGCAAAAGCATTTTTTATGGATGAAATATCAAAAGGGCTGGACAGTTCCACCACTTACCAGATCATCAAGTTTATGCGGCAAATGGTTCACATTAACGATATAACTATGGTTATCTCCCTCTTACAGCCTGCACCCGAGACATTTGATCAATTTGACGATGTTATTCTCTTATCGGATGGTCAAATTGTCTACCAGGGTCCGAGGGAAAACGTTCTTGAATTCTTCGAGTACATGGGTTTTAGATGTCCAGAAAGGAAAGG